GCAGCAGCAACAAAACACCTTAACATACTCTGGAAGCACCACCATCAGCTCCTCTAGGGTGTATGGATGCTCAGGGTCAGTTATACACCTCACAGCAGCATACACCTCCTGCAGCAGCAGAAAGCAAACGCAGCAGCACAAATGTTGCTGCAGCACCAACAGCAGCATCTGCTGCTGAAGCTGCAGCTGCAGCAGCTGCTGCTGCTGCTGCAGCAGCGCAGCTCCAGCGGTAACAGCAGCAATAGAAAACAGTTGATACTCCTGAACTAGCGGCAGGAACAGAAGCAGCAGCACCAGCAACAGCTGCTGCTGCTGCAGTGGTTCGGCCCTTACTGCTGCTGAAGTTGCTGCTGCAGCAGCTTTCTCCTACTGCTGCTGCTGCTGCAGCAAATATGTATTTACCTGTGCAGTCAAAACCTCCGGGCGAGAGAACAGCCGCGCTCTCTTCTGGTCGATCTGCTGCTCTGTAATGCTGCTGCTGCAGCTGCCATTGTTGCAGCATCTGCTGCTGCTGCTGCTGCTGCTGCTGCTGCAGCAGCAGCTGCTGCTACCATAGCTGCAGCCTCTGATGTCAAGACAATTAGTGGTGGCCTTGTTGTGCTTCGAGACAGACTGTGGAGTATCTGCAACCACCTCTTTGGGGGCAGCAGGCGCTGCTGCTGTCTCTGTTTCTGCTGCTGCTGCTGCTGCTGTTGCTGTTGCAGCCCGCGCTGGGGACGCTACGGGCACTTCTTCCGTCCCAGCTGCTGCTGCTGCTTTTGCTGAATCTTTGTGTGTTGCGTTTGATGCTTGTTCATGTGCAGCAGCTGTATGCTGCGGCGGCAGAGGTGGTGCGTGGGGTTCATAGGTGTAGGCAGCGAGGAGAGAACTGGGGCTCATGAGTTGACTGTCCCTCAGCAGATGCATGCGCTCCTCGAGCAGCAACTCTGTTACTTGCTGCTGCTGCCAGCGGAGGTCATTGTTGCCCAGCCAACGGCGACTACGGAACAACTCGGGCGCAGCAAGTTCAGCGGGTTGCTGCTGCTGTTGTTGCTGCTGTTGCTGTTGCTGCTGTTGCTGCTGCTGCTGCCATGTATGCTTGGAAACATTCAACTGCAGTTTAGGAGGACGCAAAGCTGCAAAGAAGTCCGCTGTGTATCGGCTCCCTAGGAAGGCGTCACTCACCCTCTGCACCTGAGGGGTTGGGTTACTGCCTTCTTCTGCCATTTCCGTTCATTGTTTTTTGTTTTTTTCTATTTAAATATATTTTTCCTCAACACATTGAGAGGATAAGCAAGAGAATCAACTCTAATGTAGCGACTGGGCTGATGCATGCCAGTGGCCTAGGCGAAGCATGCGCGATGAGGTCCTCGGCATCACGTACGGCAGAGTTTCGGTGGATAGGGGAAATTATGTGGCTGTTTATTATTCCCATATAAACCTCTTTATAGAATTAAAAGGGTTTATAGAGAAAGACAATAAAAGACGAGAGGCAACTCTCATTTGAACTGTACAGCCAAACCCCCCACCGGAGGCCCGACCGCTGGCTGGCATGAGGAGAGAATCCGTGTATCTCTGTACATGTATTGCTGAATGCTAGCAACCACACCAGCAGCTTTATTTTCGTGAACTTCATAAAGTGTTTAACATCTGAACGACAGCCCGTGGCTATACACCAAACATCTTACCAACCCTTGGTGAGTAACGATGGATGGCAGACAAGCGGAAACTGTAGCGGTAGAGCATGACGCTGGGACTGCCAGAAAATTTGAACTCCTGGATGAGATTATGCAATGAAAGGAGAAATAGATAGAGATGTATAGAGAGCTGAAGAAACTTCAGAACGATATCGACGTATCTTAGGCATTTCTCTATGCGACTAAAAGCACGGCACAGATGCCAATGTACTGTAGGAAACTTGTCTCTGCATTTAGATCTCTCTAGAGCCTAGTGCTGCGAAAGATACCACAGAAGCACCGAAGGCGAGTTTATCCCGGTAACGTGCCCGCAAGGGTCTCCATAACAAAATTTGTTTTCGTCTGTCCTCTGCCACCCTCTACTTTGGTGTGGCTTCACATATTCAGGGATTAGGAGCAGCGAGCTGCAAACGATTCCCTTTTATGCTTCGCCTTGAATATACAAACCCAGCGGTTGTGGCATGCCTCTGCTGTTACAGCAGCTCTTGCTAGTGGTGCTGGCAGCAAATATGAGCCGCATTCTCATTCTCTTCTGCCAGTTATAGAGAGCCTGGAGCAGTAGGGATTTCACTGGCATCTACACGCCGCGTGCTTTCAGCCCGTTCTTGACGCTCCAATGCAACGATTTGTCCCATTTCAACTCGATACAAAGAGCTGAATCAATAGTAATATTTTTGTACTGCTTTCAGAATCATATGCAGAATGGGCGAGGCTGCATACCTGGATTTGTCGTGGCTTTTTACCCCGTGCAGGTTTTGTTAATTACTGCCGGGGTAGCTCCTCCTAAATATTACTAACAGCTTCTCGTTCGATACACCTCTTTCGTATATGTGGGTAATTGGCTGCATTTGGCCCCCTCCTAGGCGGTTTCTGTAGCCTTAAAAAGGTTGTCTCCGCTGCTTAGGTATCTGTTTGGGGGGTCCATCCTGAAATTTAAAGCTAAAAAAAAGAAAACATTTCGAACGGATAAGCTTTCAGTTACCTGGGTATCATGCAGGTGCGCTTGCAGACGGGGTGGCAATGGCTGTTGCTGCCGCAGGTGCTGCTGTTGACGCTGATGCAGCATAGGGTACTGTTGCAGCTGGTGCTGCTGCGCATTACGCTGTTGCCGCTGGTACTGCCGCATATGGTACTGTTGCTGCAGCTGTTGATGTGCACGGTACTGTTGCTGTTGCTGTTGCTGCGTATAGTGCTGTTGTCGCTGCTGTTGTCGCTGCTGTGGTTTGTGCAGTTGCTGCCTCGGTTTCTTTCCCCTGCGGATCCTCACTATCTTTGGACGGCTTTGAGGGCTGCCTT